AGACGAGCCGGGCGACCTGTCATCCGTCTGCGGTGATGACGCGACTGACGTACAAAAGGCAATCGCTAGCTTGTGCAGTGGCAACGTCGTTTCGGCCGCACAGTCTGCATTCATCTCTACTTGCTCTGCCGCAGGTTCTTCAGTCGGTACGTTGCCCCAGCTGGGACAAACTTGGGACATGGGAAAACATTTCTTGATGGATATTTGACTGACATTGTACCCTTTCCTGTTGTGAATGCGCAGCTCCCTACACAGCAACATCCTCAAATTCTGCAAGTCAAACATCTGGAGCTGGAACATTCGTCTACACCACCGCCGTCTACAACTCCGACTGCAGCTGCACCACGACGATCGTCACCACAGCTACCACCGGTAGTCCCATCTCCACTGGTCTTGCAACTGCCACAGATGGAAGTGGTGCTTCCGGGTCCAATTCAGCAGGCGGTGCATCAGCGACCGGAAACGCTGCCGCAGATGCCAAGCAAGTTGGAAGTTTTGCCGCCGCTGTTATCGCCATCGCTGGTGTTGTTGCAGTTTTGTAAACAGCTGGCTGGAGATTTGGGAGTGACTCTACGGTTAAAACACAAGCAGCGAATGTCACTGGGTTAGTTTTGAGTCATCAGCGTCGCCTTCTGTGTGTGAACACGTGGAGACATGAAGAGAACCGCTTGTCCGTCATGTTGCAAAAGTACCAGCCGTGTGTCAAAGTATTCAAAGAGAGGGACGGAACACCCCTCGACCCGTTTTTCGAACTTGGAGATTTGGAGTCTTCCATTGGCAATCTGGTCCTAAACAATACACCCAGAAATCTTCTCCTGCGGAGGAATGGGAGGGAAAGGGAACCAGCTTCAAACTGAGCACCACACCATAGATGTGTGCCTAGATAATGGGGATGAATCCGAAGATCAAAAGACATTTGGCATGCTGGCCAGAGCCTTTTGTTTGTCAAAACGTCTCGCTTCTTGTTTTTTTGCCGATTTGACTTTCTTTTGTTCTCTCATATCAGCTCTATCAAAAAGACCGAGCGGCGTTGGCAAGTGATCTACGGAGTCTAAAATCCCTCGTTATCTCTTGTTTCTTTTCGTCTATCTTTGGAGTCCCCCCTCTCCTCCCTCCCTGCCTGTTTTGGGGGGACACGAGGCTGCGCTGGAGGGGGGCAAAAAAGCCATTTCCCAATCGACATCATACACTGGGGAAAAAACCAAATAAGCCTCTCTTTTTGCCAGGGATCGTCACCTCCGAAGCCAATACACGTATGTTGGTCCAGATATTTACACGTTTTCCCCGTCCCGTCCCATTCCGATCCCATCATGAATTCCTTTCCTGCGTCCACGGCATGTCTTTTAGCGGATACACATGTCCTCCCTTCTTGGACCAGTACCGATCCATTTAATGGGCACTCCGACCTCGGCCTCGATGAAATCGATATACTCCCTCGCGCGTTCGGGCAGGTCTTCGAATCTCTTACAGCCGGTCGTTTGAGTCATCCACCCCGGGAATGTCTTGTACTCGATCTCCATCTTGTCCATGACATCCAGATCCGCTGGGAAACCAGGCAGTGTCTGGCCGTCCACCTTGTACGCTGTTGCGATCCGGATCTCTTCAAAGCCATCTAGGACGTCCAGCTTCGTCAGGTTGAGTTGTGTATAGCAGTTCACGGCCGCAGAGTACTTGACCAGGACGAGGTCGAACCAGCCACAGCGCCGCTTGCGGCCTGTGGTGACGCCCCATTCGCGGCCAACCTGTTGTAACCGGTCGCCATATTCGGCGTCCTTGGGCGAGATTGCGGCGTTGAGTTCCGTGGGGAAAGGACCGGAGCCGACCCGGGAAGTGTAGGCCTTTACCACGCCAACAATGTTGCTTCCTGGCGCGGAGAGGGATTGAGGAGACAAGCCAGCAAGACCCGTGAAAACACCCCCTAGGCCGGTGTTACTGGACGTGACATAGGGATATGTGCCATGGTCGATGTCAAGAAGAAGCGCATTGGCACCCTCGATCAAGATGTTGGGTTGGCGAGCACCAGCGCCGTTCGAGTTGGTCGTGGCGATTCCCTTTGTTCCGACCGCCTGCGCGAGTAAGGGCGTCTGGTCGACCACGTATTGCTGCAGTTCTTCCCGATATCCGCGTAGCTTTTCGATCTCCTCTTCTAGACTGTAACCCTCCAGTGCGGCATCGCCATACAATTTGCGGTAGTTGGCTTCCAGGTCCCGTAGGCGCTTTTCCCAACGCTGTTGTTCGTTAACGAGCATCCAAAAGGTCACGCCTCTCCGGGCGACTTTGTCGCTATAGCATGGACCGATGCCCTTACGGGTAGTGCCAATCATGTTCTTCCCGCCATCGACATTCTTGAATTTGTCTTCGGAGATGCCGTCGACGACGCCGTGCAAGTCGAAGCATACATGAGCGCGGTCCGAGATCAAAATGCGCTCCCGCACCCCCACCAGCCCCTTCTCTTCCAGTGCTTTCAGTTCTTTGAAGAAGCTGGGGATGTGCACGACACAGCCAGTGCCGATGAGATTGATTTTGCAGGAAGGGTTGATGAGGCCAGAAGGGAGGATATGGAAGTCGTATGTCACGTCGTTGACCACGATGGTATGGCCAGCATTGTTGCCCCCCGCAGCGCGGCAGACGAGATCAGCAGAGGATGCGAGGATATCGACGAGCTTCCCTTTGCCTTCGTCGCCCCATTGAGAGCCCAACACGAGAGTGACGGGCATGGCTGAAGAGCTGTAGAGTGTCGATGTTAAGGTGGGAATGTGGAAAGGGAATGCAGCCCGAAATCGGAGTAGGAAATAGCGCGAGACTGGCGAGAGGAGGACGAGGCTAGATTTGCTACCACGAGAGATTCAAGACAAGAAGGCGGCAGCCTCGATGTTCAGGTCGATATGTCTGTCATCATCTAAGATTTCTGACTTCTCAGGGCAAAGACATAACTGCAATGCTACGGCTAATAGACGTTGCTAATTGACTCACGTCGGAATTTTCCAAGGATGGTGGGGTTTGGGGTTGACGAAAAGATTCTTCGGAACTTGCACAGACTGCGCAGGGCTGGCAGGTGGCAGGTCTTTTTGGTGGGGGTTGCGCCGCCGCATAATAAATATTAGCTGCCCTCATGCAAAAAAAGTCTCCTACGCGCAAAAAGGAAAAAAGCCCCCCCAAAAAGTTGCTGCATCTCATCATCATGCCGAATTCTATTTGTTCGCTTCTTGTTTACCTCTTACCCTAGTGTTTTGTCTTTCGATTATACCTACACATTTACACCTGAACGACTCTCCGTAATATTCCGCTTGTTTGGTGCGAGAAATGCTACCAACTACCTACGAGGCCAACATGCACTGCACATGATTCAATGCCAGGTTGATGCCTCCGCTTCCAGCGACGTGTTTCAGGCCCAGACAGTAAAGATGGAATTATACAAGCAGTGCCGCAACGGCAAGCGTCTGCTGCTGCCTTCTCCCTTCGTTCGCTCACATTTTCCCGAGACATGCTCAGCCGCGTTGCTTGCTCCCATGAGCTGAGTTCCGGTCCAGAATGCAAACATCTCCATAACTCCCCTTGTTGCTCTGTCCCGTGTTATTTTATCTCTGTCAATTCCCGTGAGCTGGCTTTGTCTAACAAATAGAGTGTCTCAAAATACAATGAACTGAACAGCATATGTCTTGGAGCCTAGTTTGCGTCGGAAGCAATCGCAAAAGCGTCATGGGCATTCCTCTCAATCAGCATCGCCAACGAAAGGGGCATAAATAGAACCAACACGCCCCGTGGCAAGGACTTCTCATCTTTCTTCATCCACAGATTGCCATTTCAACTACACAGCAAACGCTTCCATCATCAAAGACTTCGCCGACAGCCTTGTTCGTCCAAAGCACCTCACAGCACTCCGACGTCTCTCCACAAAGACCTCAGTACATCCTGCCATCATGGACGTCTTCACCAGACTCGCCTCAGGAATCTACATACGCCAACACCATCAAGGAGACCAAGACCACCGTCCGCAAGCTCAGCGCACTCGTCCTCGCCAGACACGCCAGGCTCTCCCCGTCCATGACCTCCAAGACGGGACGCTCCACCGCAAAATAGCCGACACCAACGACTACGTGGCGGAAGCAAAGTCTGAGTACGACTCCCTACGCAAGCAGCGCCGACTCCTACGCGAGAGACTCGAACAGTTGGACGCGAAGATGGGGAAACAAGAGGACAGGATCGTGCAGCTGAAGGACTGTCGGAGCATGTTGTTGGACGAGCAGAAGGCGAGGGAGAAGCACCGTCGGGGAAAGAAGGGTGACAAAGGGAAAGAGGATCGTCGTCGAGGAGGCTGGTGAGAGGTCAAACCATCAGCAAGCTAGCTCCACAAGGCTGTCTTTTCTTCTAGAAGGGAAATCTGGGTCTCTCGCGTGGTGATGGACTTGGGACTTGCGGGTCACAACAGGGTATGGGAGGCAGGGATGGGACTCGTGTTGAGACGCACATGTCAGGTAGATCCTCCACATGATACGAGGTAGATCTGGAATCAATGGCTCATTTGTCTAAAATTCAAGAACATACACAAGAGAATCTAGTGGATCATACCAGCGTCGCCAGTGTTCAAGCAAAGTAAAAAGTTCAAGATCATCCATTCATACCCGCTGGTGCGGTGTGGTCTTTCATTGCCCATTGAGTGCGCCATTCTGCCGAACTCCGCATCAAGTTTAGTTGGTCGAGGTCCAGATACCTCAGAAAAAGAACGTAGACAAACGTCTGCTAGCCGCAGGCTCTGACACTCCATGCCCGTCCCGGTTCCAAGAGATCCCATCCGTCTCGTTTTCTCGTCTTTTTGCCCCTCTTTTTCTATTCCTATACACCCTTCCTCTTGTTAAAAGGCCGTTTCAGACATGCCAGCGCCATTGCTGTCCAGACGCCGTCGATAACATCCCACATAGAAAATCCTTTTTGCGAAATCGTAGCCGCAGCCAAAAATAAATATCGTGAGAAGAAGTTGAGAATAAGGTCAAAGTCCACGCTCAGAATTTATCGCCCATCATACCCTTGGGTACCACCGGTCTGGTATCGTAGTCAAACCCGTCAGGATCCCGGAGAGCGAGCCCGGCCCCTGTGCCATAAGGATACCCGCATTCAGTTGGCTGGCTAGGCCTCCTAGTGCCGCCAGTTTGGCGGGCCATCGATTCCCAGCGCTCTCTTCGCCCTTCAGCGCTGGTCTCGCTTTCGAAGCTGCCGCGGACACGGTATACGGGATCTAGTTCCGCTGGCATCGGGAAAGCAGATATCGGGGATTGCGCCGTGGAACCAGCAAGAAGTGTCTGCGAATTTGAACGAGAATGAAAATCCGCAGTGTTGTCCTTGCCCGAGCGTTTCAAGTGGACATCTTTTGATATTCGATGTAGCATGTTGACCTTGGGCTTGGATTGCGCAGGAGGGGGGAAGCTCGAGATGAGATTAGGTGATGTGCTGAATGATGGGGATTGTGGTGAGGTAACGGCGGATGTGGTCGTAGATCCTGGCATGCTCTCGAAGTTGAATGGCTCGATCTCGTTCAGCTTGAGGCTCAAATGCGCAGCAGTGTCAGGAACCATTGTTGTTGCAAGGCTCGAGATGGTAGCAGCCTGTGATGCCTTCCGTTGATTTTCAGGTCTCGGGGCAGTCATTGGCATGATCGTATCGGGGGGAGGCCGCGCCGGCGGTCCAAGAGGCGCCTTCGGGGTGGGATGAAGAATAGATTTGACGACGAAGGCAATGCAGATGATGACTCCCAAGCCACCAAGGCCCACGCCCATGAACCAGCCACCGCGAATGCCGGCAAGCGGATCTTTTCCATTATTGTTCACGTGAACTTCGACGGTAGAGGCAAGGCCGAGACCGAGAGAAATGGAGTAGTTGACAACCGTACTGATGAGACTCCCGGCAACACCTTGTTGTTGAGGAGGAAAGAAGTTGGACATGATCAATGTCGCTGCCGGAAAGGACATGTCCATGCCAAAAGGCATGACAATGAGGCTGGCGAATGTCCAGCTCCAGTAGGTCGTCTTGTCAATATTCGAGTCGGCTGCCAGAAGCAGCGGTCCGAATGCGAAAGCCACCAAAGCCCAAAAGAGAGTCCACGAGGGCCGACATTTCCGCATCATCCAAGCCGTCAACACCGAAGCAATCAAAGCAACGGGCACGATAGGCAGGACTTTCACTGCAGCACCAAGAGGAGTCTCATGTTTAATCCCAAGGAGGTACCTCCACAGAAACCATGTCCATATTCCAAACGTGGCCCATCCACATGCGACGGCGCCAAGGACAAACCCAACATCTGCCTTGAGCATCTTGAATGGTACCAGTGGTTGTTCGGCAATCTTGAGCTCCGTGATAACAAAGAAGGCGATGAGCAAGAGGCCGATGATCAGCAACATGAAAATGTACTGGGTACTCCACCCCGAGGCCGGAGCAGAGACAAGAGAGACTTGGACGCAAATAAGGCCACCAACACCGGTGAGGGCCCCAAGCCAGTCCATATCCCGCAATTTCTCCTTGACTGGTAGCATCTGCTTTGGAGTCGGTGGTGGAGAGACCAATATAACAGAGGCGGCTACTGCCAGGAAACAAGAAACACTGGCGAGAGTATAGAAGCTCCACCACCAGGATGCGAACTTGGTGAACAACGCTCCAAAGATCATGCCCAGGTAGGCTCCCACTGGTGCACATAGACCAAATAGCGTGAAGGAGAGGATTTTCTTCTTGGATCCCGGTGGATAAGTTCGACCTAGCAGCGCGAGACCGTTTGGCACCATCAGACTCGCACCAAGACCTTGAAACCCTCTTGCCACGAAGAACAATTCATAGCCGACATAGTGACTTAGTCCAGCAACGACACTCCACAGACTGAGGAGGGAATAGCCGATCACGACCATCGTCTTATGGCCAAAGATGTCACCAAGTCGTCCTCCGATCAGAATAAAAGTTCCGAATGACAATGCGTACGCAGCGACAAGCCATGGCAGTACTGAGGGGTTTGAGATGGTGAATGACTGTGCGAGGTCCCGGCTGACCGGGAAAACTGTTGTCAAGGTCGATTGTGGGATAAGTTGAAGGAATGCTACCATAATGTTGAAGAGGATTTCTTGTTGTTTCGACATGCGCGTAATTAGCCAGCCGCCGGGTGGTCCAGGGGGTCCAGCAGGAGGTCCAGCAGGTCGACCTGTAGGTGGTGGTCCATTTGTATGAGGAGCCTTCTCCATATCGATCGGCTCTCTGCTCGCAAGGTCGTTATCTGTTGTTGGAGTAGAAGAAACGCTTGAATTCAAGCTACTGAATTTCCTGGGAGTCATGACGGACGGTGCATTTCATGACAAAAAGAGCGTTCGGGCGATGATGAGGATGTAAGACCTAGTCGTCACAAAATCTGGGCAAATAGCTGAGGAAGGGGATCAAGGGAAGGGATAGACGACTATAAAGTGGTGTACCTGACCAGATGTGGCTGCGTGCCAGGGGATGGATCGCGACGTCCTTCAGGCCTCACATCGGCGCCGACTTACCGCTGGTATAACTTAGTCTTACTGTGTATGTCGCTTTCGTTTCTTACAAGGTGCATCCGTAGCATATTACCTTATTATCGTCGAACCTTGCAACCAGTGTTGGGTTGCGCAGTGGTAGGGTAGGTGGAGACGCGCACAAAGTCTGTCGGGGAGGCATTCTCCTTGGACATGGGTCATCGAAAGCCACCAAAAAAGCCACCGTTGAAGCTTCACACCCAGATACAGGGCTTGGATTGGATACTCGCAAAAGGTGCCAGGCGCAAGGTCTAAGGCAGACATTCGCAGTCGAGCCGGAAAGAGCCAAGAATGTTTTGTTTCCAACGCCCCTTGCAGACGATCTTCTGAGCAATGACGATCTCCCGTCCTATTCAAAGTTTACCAGGGATCGGTGGCCTCAGTACCCGACGCAGGTACCGAAGGAGGTAGAAAAGTAGTAGATGATAATGAAGATCACTAACTGCCTGATCGGGACATATCCTGATTGTCGTATGATGCAGGAGGAGAGGTGCACCCAGACTCGTCCTCGCAGACAGCAAGGATGTATTAACAAGGGTATCTAGGTATCTGGGATTAACCCCGGTCGTTCGTGGAAGATGCTGTGCCACCAAGCGAGTGGCGTCAGGCACAGACCGATGTACACACAAGTAGCGAACCCGGCCGAGGGATGGGTTTGGGGGCTGCATGACGCGACGGCAGGCTGAAACGACGTACTTTGGTACCACGGCGACGATAAGGGCGTCATTGGGTGGAGGGAGAGGACTGAATGGGAGGTTCCGAGGTGATGAAATTTGATCGAAGGGTCGGAAATTACAGACGACAGTGGCTCCCTGATGCAGTGCCAAGACAAAACAGACCTCAGCCTCAATTTCCGCCCACGTTCTCCCGCTCCCCCATCAGTGACATCCCTCACCCCTCGACGCGTCCAGATGCCCTATTGAACGCGTTTCTCAATCCCTATCAGGCCCCTCATCCGAGTTCTCTGCTCTACTGGGAGATACTCGTATGTTCTTTGCCCCGCACGGAGGTGATAAAGGCCGACTACTTATTGATACACATGCCTGCGGTTGCCCTCGTGCAACAAGCCGCCCTTTCCGGGAGATTCGAGGTCAGCAATTACTGCATCCGGATCAGTCCGAGACATGAACGCGATTGGCAATTCGACAACAGCAACATCAAGACCCAAAGAACGACCTCAGTGTCTGTACCACGCTTCCCAATCGGAATCCCCGGTACAGTCTACCCCGGCAAGGTCCTGAGAGTGTGTCCTACTCGAGAAGGGCCAAAAAACCCATCATGGATGCAGATTGCCCTACCCACCTTCCTTTACGAGTACGGGCACTTCAGACTATGGACCTCCTCTGCCCAAGTACGCCTTACGAGTAGGTCCAATGGCACATCACTCCTCTCTGGCGATCCGGCGGGTCTATTCTCAGATGCAGACGGCTATTGCTTCTATGCCGGCGCATGGTTCGAGCGACCCCGACGAGTAATCGGTAGAATCTAGAAATACGCCGACTTGATGTTGTACAGACTGGAATATTTCTGCATTCCACAAGACGGAAATTACCGTCAAGCTGCAAAAAGCAAGGCAAAAGAAGCGTGAATGGTTCCACAAGGCAGGTTTTCGACTGGGCCGAGCTAGTTCACTGCAAGCTACGTATGAAGCTTGGATTTCCCTGACTTTCGCCTGGTACACAATGTCTGGAGGTCTGGCATATCCATATGCGGCCTGGCGGACACGAGAGACATGAATAGCTCATGACGCAAATGGTACTTCCAATCAACCAGGCCAGACGTCCTGTGTTGGATGCCATTCCAATCCACCCCTTTGAACACGGTCCAGTACTTTTGATGACCATGACCCTAGTCAACAGAAACAATCAAGCAGTGTCTCCGACCTGCTTCAGCAATGCATGCACCGCCTCAAAGGCCTTCTTTGCAAACGGGCCCATATCATCGCCATATTTTTGTGGACCCCTGCCATCAAATATTTCCACTGACACCCAGCTTCTGAAGCCGGTATTGAACACCGCCCGGGTGAAATCTTCCACGGGCAAGTACCCCCCGTCGTATGGAAGCGGTCGATAGTCGTGGCTCCACTGGCCTCGAGGCCTCAATCCGCTGTCATCTGGCTTGTCGTCCAACGGTGGCTCCATTTTATATGCATCTGAGATCTGCAGTAAGAATATCTTTTCCGGAGGAATTGTTTTTGAGAGCTCTTCGCAACTGCTCTTCCATCTCTTGTCCAATTCTTGTGTACTGATATTTTCGATTCGTCCAGATTTCGTCGTCGGGCTGCCCCATTCTCCCCCTGCGCTTTGGAAAGTATCGAGGCACAACCCCAGATTAGGCCTGTCAGCCTTGTTCACAATATCCCAGACATCCTTCCACGTCGTAGCGTGAGTGGCCCAACACCAGTTTTCGTATGCGATTCGAAGCCCTTTCTCCGCAAAGATGTCTGCCAGCTCAGCCAGATCAGCCGCCAGGTCGTCAAAACAAGGCGAGATGCCCTCAGCATCAGATGATCCAATCTGTTCTCGTGGTCAATATTGCTATGTTTCAACCACAGCTACGGGAGAAACGAGCCTACACACCTGAAGCATATCTGTTCCAACTGCCTCCATTATGCTCATCCACCCATTGGCTCTATCGAAAGCATCTCGTCTTTCTTTGCTATCCTTAGGCCAGCCCTCAAAGTTGGCAAACGGCTGCAGCATCAAGACTTTCAAGCCTTCTTTTTCGCACATTTTCCCGATCTCTGTTGCGACTGATCGAAGTGTCTTGTAATCCTCTGGATCAATATCTGCCTTGGTCTGGGAGATCTCTCGCCCGTACGCGAGAATGTCGGGCATTGAGAGCTCGATAGCATCGAATCCAGCAGTGGCAAGAGTCTGCAACTTGGCCGCGAGCGTATGCTTAGAACCATCGTGTCCTATAGAGCACGAGGCGTAACAGACTGGGATCTCGTTCCCATTGAAACTCACCATGACGATGCAGAGAAGGTTTGTGAACGGTACGTTTCTCCTTGGCTTTCAAAAGTGCTTCCCCCTTGTGTACGGATAGATCTCAGGAAAAGGCTGTAGCTCTTTGTCTCTTGCTATACAAATTTTGCAGTTCATACCAAATCCGAGGAAGGTATTACCTGGGAGTTGTCAATGCATGGCCGAGCTCGGAAATAGAAGATGACGTCAACGGATATGGAGGAAATACTTGTCTCTCACAGTAGCTTACCGGATGTCTTTTCCTGCATGACCTATTGCTCCTGAAACGATGACGAAAAGCCGCCTACTCAAACTTCACGCCTACATATCCGACATTATCTTCAGGCCAGTACATGGACACACTCCTATCAACAGTCAGAGACATTCAAAACGGACACGATGGGTCAACAGGACCGTCCAGAGTTCGAGAAGGTAAGTAATGGGCATGGGGCTGATGCTGCCATGCCGAGAAGATCATCAGAAGCCTAAACAACCAAAAGGTTCGCGTACTGACCCGACTCGATATAGCTTGGCATGATTGGCGTGGGAAGTATGGGCGGCATGATGTCTCTGTTATATGCTGAACACGGAGTCGAGGTTCACTACTACGATCCAAGTACGAGATTCCCATATTGGTTTCATGGCTCACTTCTCGGACCACGATCATTCATACTCACTATACCTAAACAGATGAGGAAAATGTCAAGCAGCTCCAAGAGCACGCTGAAGCCATCCAGGCCCGTGACCGTATTGTGCACCAGAAAGACTATAAAGAGCTCTGTGAGAGCATCTCTTCGCCAGGTTCACCCAAACTATTCGTATTCAGCATACCTCATGGTTCTGTTGGAGACGAAACCGTTGAAAATCTGCGCCCATATCTAAAGGCTGGTGACATTATACTCGACTGCTCAAATGAGGACTGGCGAAACACAGAGCGGCGACAAAAAGCCCTTGATCATGACGGCATTCACTATATTGGCTGCGGTGTAAGCGGCGGATACCAAAGTGCCAGACACGGCCCTTCGATGTCTCCCGGTGGCGATGCCGAGACCTTGAAGAAGATCGTCCCGTTCTTGGAGCGAGTCGCCGCGAAAGACAAGCAAGGTCGCCCGTGCACGACCGGCATAGGACCAGCGGGTAGCGGGCATTATGTGAAGATGGTGCACAATGGCATCGAACAAGGCATGATGTCCGCCATCGCCGAGGTCTGGTTCATCTTGAATAGATGCTTGAAGATGTCTTACGAAGAGATTGCCGACACGTTCGAGTCGTGGAATGGGAGCGAGCCTCTCCGAGATAATTTCCTGGTGGCCATCGGCGCGGACATCAACCGTACCAGGGACGAGGAAGGGAGTTTCGTGCTGGCCAATGTTTTGGACAAAGTTGTCCAAGACGTGGACAACTCTGAGGGCACCGGCGTCTGGACTTGCGAGGAGACGATCCGTCTGCACGTCCCCTCGCCCACCATCGTCAGCGCACACCTGTTCCGCCTCGCTTCAGCAGACGCGGCCAAGCGGGAGCGGGTAAACCGCGCGTTCGGCGGCGGCACCTCGCAGCCGGCCACCATCCAGTTGGAGGTGCCGCACGAGAAAGCCTTGCCGTCATTCATCGAGGACTTGAAGCTCTCCCTGTACGCCGCCTTCCTCTGTGCATTCCTCCAGGGGCTCAGCATCATCAAAGCCAAAGACCGCGAGCAGGGCTGGAATCTGGATTACCGGGCGATCCTGCAGATCTGGCGCGGTGGCTGCATCATCCAGAGCGACCACATCTCGGACCTGCTGGACCGCGTCCTGTCACAGTCCGAGACGCTCA